GCGGTATTTAATTATTAGTTGAAATATGGTTTTGAAAAATGACGGTACGTCACAGCGATAAATAAAAATCAGTTCAATATCTGAATTTCCCTGTACGAAAATCTCATCAGAAATTAAACTGGTAAAAATAATTATAATATTATTAACCGCATTTTGCAGGCTTTATATACGCTCGACAGAAATTTGAATACGGGTATAGACAGTGAACAGCGCGCCGCATAGCGGTAGGCAAGTAAACTATAACCTTAATACTAGTTACAAAAGGACTTTCTGAAAGATTTCAGAAATATTGCAAATGCAATAATTTAAAAACATGATGCAGGTACATTTCTGAAATATTTCGGATGAAAAGTTACAATTGAAATATTAATGAAATATTTCTGTACCATTTCCGAACATTACAGTATTTCAGCAATATTACATGCCGAGTGGGTTGAGGTCCCAAAAATGCGCAAAACTTTGTGAGTAATCCAAATACAATCAGGACTAGTTTCTTCGATAATTGCCATCCGAATTTTCTTTTCGCTCGTGTAAGGCGGCCAGTGACACATTGTTTTATGGTCAAATAACCACCATGATGGCACCAACTGAAGTCCATCGTCAAAAAGCGCTATTGTAAAGCGCGACATCTTCAATCTCCTGTAAATATTCTATTTAAAAGAGGTAAAGAAATGGTGCCAAGTATACGTGCTCTTTGTACTTAATTGTTTATTGTGCAAAAAGTCTATTTCACGATCTTACAAAAAAAAACTTTATATGTGAAAGAGATTTGGTATACATATTTTCATATTAGTGAATAAACTGTTTAATCATTTGTACAAAAGATTTGATATCAAAAACTAACGTCATAATATAATCCCGTTAAAAAAAAACTTTACAAAAATGAAAAACACATGTCAATTACATAAAACTATAATAAAACTATAAAATATGCAATAAAAGTATCCAAAATCATATGTAACAAGAGTTTAAAGAAATTGATTTATAATTATTTTTGTTTATTATGATATATATTAATATATTAATTAGATCTGGTATATTTGTTAATTGTGTAATATACCCAGACAGCACAAAACGTCCTCAGGATCATCCTGAATATGTCCAGGATGGTTCAGGATATTTGTAGGATGTTTTAAGATATTATTATAAATATATTTTATGAAAATTTAATATGCATACATGATTACTTTCGGTTATGTAGGCTATTTAATATAATTTAGAAATTTTAAGTATTGTAATAAGTATTAATGTCCTATAAATGTCCATTGGATAACCCCTGGATGTCTGTAGGATACCTGCCCTGTCTATTATATTGAATGTCCTTTGGATTTCCAGAGGACATATACATGTGCAATTAACTGTTAACATTAATTTCGTTTAATATTAATAATTGAATTTGATGCGCACATTTTCACATATTCAAAATTATTATTTATTTAATAATTTATGAGAAATGTTACTATGCGCAACATTCCAAAAACTTTACAAAAAATAGTATTCAACCGCTAGTTAGTTTGTTTACCGCTATGCGAAGCGCAAACTCGTATTTGAGATTTGGTCATGAGAATTATATAAAGCTTGCAAAGAGCAACTAACAGGAAATTAAAAATATAATTATTTTTTATCAGTTCAATTTCTGATGCAATCCAAACAAAAAACATGATGCAGGTACATTTCTGAAATATTTCGGATGAAAAGTTACAATTGAAATATTAATGAAATATTTCTGTACCATTTCCGAACATTACAGTATTTCAGCAATATTACATGCCGAGTGGGTTGAGGTCCCAAAAATGCGCAAAACTTTGTGAGTAATCCAAATACAATCAGGACTAGTTTCTTCGATAATTGCCATCCGAATTTTCTTTTCGCTCGTGTAAGGCGGCCAGTGACACATTGTTTTATGGTCAAATAACCACCATGATGGCACCAACTGAAGTCCATCGTCAAAAAGCGCTATTGTAAAGCGCGACATCTTCAATCTCCTGTAAATATTCTATTTAAAAGAGGTAAAGAAATGGTGCCAAGTATACGTGCTCTTTGTACTTAATTGTTTATTGTGCAAAAAGTCTATTTCACTATCTTACAAAAAAAAACTTTATATGTGAAAGAGATTTGGTATACATATTTTCATATTAGTGAATAAACTGTTTAATCATTTGTACAAAAGATTTGATATCAAAAACTAACGTCATAATATAATCCCGTTAAAAAAAAACTTTACAAAAATGAAAAACACATGTCAATTACATAAAACTATAATAAAACTATAAAAAATGCAATAAAAGTATCCAAAATCATATGTAACAAAAGTTTAAAGAAATTGATTTATAATTATTTTTGTTTATTATGATATATATTAATATATTAATTAGATCTGTTATATTTGTTAATTGTGTAATATAAGTTACAGTAATATATTCCCATAATATATATTTTAATACTAAATTCGTTATCTACACATTCTTAATCCATTATTTAAAAAAGTCAGAACACGAAAAACTATTTTAATGTTTAACATTAAATTACATTTTAAAATACATTTGAACATAAATTCAAGTCAAATTTTCATAAAATAAAAAATATATCTTATGTATGAATGATAGGAAAAACAATGCTAAAATTATCTTTGTAAAACATTTTCCACATTTTAGCTTGAATTTTTTCACTTGGCCATACGCGAACGCGATCCTCTTCAATCACAATTTGAATATTAAAAGTATTTGATTCGCAAGGTAACAAATATAAATTTTTAACATATTTTAATTTTTTTCCAATAATTAATTTTGTATTATCTTCAGATTCTACGAAGTTTAAAACTGAAACTACATTTCCATTTTCTAAAAGTACACAATTATTTCGTTGATTATCGCAATGGATCGAATATGAATTAGTCTGAAATATTTTGAATTGAGAAACAATATTATATCCATTAATCAGAGGTCCGGTTTTGTGAGATTTTGTGAATCGCATGTGATCATGAAAGTTAACACGATTTGTGGCCTTTAAATCGAATATTTCTATTTCGGCGTACCGTTTTACTAGTTGCTGAAGAGGTTTATCCGGTTTACGAATCAATGTTTTAATATATGTCATATGATTTTTAAATGGAAACGCACTAAATTCATCTACAGATCCATATTTTCTAACGTCTGCACAAATATGTAATAAATTGTGAATATTATGAGAAACATATTGTTCACCATAAATTTGAGTGAATGTATTGACAAAATACTCTAGTAAACTTTGCGCATAGTCTATATTATCCATATGTTTAGAAAGAATTGGGCTTACAAGAATTGTCATCGCAACGTGTAAACTTAAAAAATTTAAATAAACTTGATTTTTTAATATATTTTTTAGCACAACCGGACCAGTATATAGGAGGAATTTCCGAAATTCAGTGGCTTTCCACAATCTAAAATCTTTTAAAGATCTCGGTCTTCGATGATATTCAGAAGGTACTGTATTTCGTAAATTTATTAACACTTCTGATATCATTTGTTTCATATGATTTGACAGTTTCACTGAACTTGGTCCAATATGCCAAAGTAAAATTAGTTTCTTGACAACTCCTAAACACACTAGATGCATATAATCCAGCGGTACTTCTGTTACAGGTTTAAAATTAGGAATGTTTTTTAATATTGTTTCTCCTGTCTGATAATCATTATATTTATAATTTATAAAATCTTCGTCAGTTCTTAAAATAAAATCGGTGTCATTTACTGAGGGAAAACATATTCGTCCATTAATGTACTTCCCTTTAATAGTACATTTTGTTCAACTGTTGTAACCATTATGATTTTTAATATTTAAAATAAAAGACTTAGCTGGAGCATCACAAATTAAACCGTGGACCTTAATTTCAACCTTTTGTCCGTCATGAATTAATGGATTATTTATCAAAAAAATTGCTTCATCAACAAACTTTTGCAAGAAAACATTATTATTTGCAGGTTTTGCTTCACCATAGTATGCCCCAACAATACATACCAATTTCGTAACAGAATCAAGACACAATATTAACCATAAAGAAGCATTACCAGACTTCGCAATTGGTAGTCCATCAACATTTATAAAAACCCTAAGAATATTAATTGAACCAACTTGTTGTATATGTTCTCGTAGCATTTTCTTAACAGCTCTCTTAAAACCAAAATGATAGTACTGCATTTCTGC